AGACTCAATGTTCTTTCTGGGAGCTGCCTGTAATACAAAGCTGTTTCATCAACATTGAAAATATCACAGTCAGCATATCCTTGCATCAACTGCGGTAACCCNACTGCATCACGTGGTACCGCTAGACTTTCCCCACAGACCTATAAATTAATGCATAGGAGTTGCTTGTTTCTTACTTTGTAAGATTGAATACCATATCTGGCTGACCAAGAGTGAAACCAACCTTTGGAAGCCTTGAAGTTATTATGATGCAATCTTAGTGCTATCTGGATTGCCTTCTTACGTACGATGCTCTCCACCACAGGGAACTCTCCGTGCTTTTCCCTCATAGCGGTAAACCAAGCCAAAGTTGCCTCATTCACTGTTCGTTGGTTTTCAGGTGGCACCTTCCCTCAGATGCGCCAGCGTTCAAAAATTCCCCGATAGTCGTTCGATGGGGTACAACACTGTAGACAGTTTTTCGTGAAATTTCAAGTGACTTGGCTACGGAGCTCTGAGTTGCATCTGGCTGTTTCAGCATTTTCAACACATTCTGCTTCTCTCTGATCGATAGGCGCTTGCACATTTTGACGTCAAATGACACTGTCTCCGATCGCTTGCATCGGTGTGACTTGCTCGCTAGGATTATCCAATCAGTGAACAGTGCCACGGACGCGTCACACTAGGTGCAACGCCACTGGTTGAGTGCGACATTTCAGGGTGGATGGTCAATGGTCGTCCCGAACATCGGTCAACGACCAAGTGAGTACGTATCAGGAACTGCGACATATTGGGGGGTGCGACATCGCATAGTCAGAAACTACGTTATTAGCCATACGATTGGTTTGGGTTTTCAAAAAAGTGGGAAGATATTGGAAAATGCGACTTCTCAGGGGTGCGACACAGCAGGAGATTGACTGTATATATGGACTCGCTCTGAAAGAGCTATCTATCCAAAAATCACCCGGTGTTGCAAACAAGGTTATTGTGACGAAAATACACATCATAAATACAAGTCTATGAATGAAATGACAAAAGATTACCGCATACGCATACCTGACCAGCGACAAAAACCGTGGTAGTATGCTTTTAGGGAAATTTTTGTCTGGTCAATCACATATACACGTGTATCACAACTGATGCTGCGAGTGCTCACAGAATCAGATAGGCCTCAACACACTGTGTGTATTGCATTTCATTGGAACTAGAATGGACCGCAGGTTTTGGTCTTCAAGTTGAATAGGCCAAATCTTTTTCCATGATAAGGAAACTCGTTTTTCTTTCTGACACTAAAAGTGTCACGCATTCAGACACACACGCACGACCACATATTCCGAAAGTGAAGGTTATTGACCAACACGAATGAGAACAACACAGACAGTGACGGGTGTTCATTTTCATGTGCAACAACACATACGCGTGCATCTGATGCGTAGTAACAAGTCATTGCACGTCATTAGTCTGGTATATTGAATCACACAAAGCCACAAAACGATGTGCTATCGGAGAACAACTTCATTGCTTCAATTGTTGTTCAATTCTGACTGTTGTCTAAACAAATCGGGGCAGTGAAATGCTATTGGTGACGCTGGAACTCTGCGCGAATTGTACACTGTTCGAAACTCTTAAATGAAACCATAGGACAACGTAAGTGTAGGAGTGTTGGGTTTTTACTTGAGATGAATATTATTGTAGTCTATGAGAAACATCTTTATCGACCTTGAAAAACCTTATCTGATGCTTGGTCACAATTCACAACCATAGGTTATGCTTGGATTCCATCACGGTTAGGAGTTCAGTCTCATTTTCAGTTTTTACAACCATTAACCACGCATATTCGTGCGCCGGCTTTGGTTGCTGTCTTTTGGCTGACCATTTGAATGAAACAGAAGAGAAAAACGCGAAAGCAGAAACAAATAGAAAATTTCAGGGGACTAACGTCGCAAAGAAACTGAGAAGATGCACAAACGTCATTGTTTACGAAACTCAGCTCAGTGTCTCTAACCATCGGTTACGATCGTCCCGATGTCCTCAATCAGGGAGCCTAACGCGACCTTTACTATCCAGTCTCCTGATTGGGGTTTTCATACCCTCGTGCCAGGTCTTAGTTTGACCACCATTGGCTTTGTTTCCATTCACTACCTACCTTAGCAAACATTGCTCGCAGTGGCAACCTATTTGGTGACATGCGTAACACACCCCAACCGACGTAATCCATGGAAGCTGACCACTTGCTCCAATGGACGACCACGAATATATAAAACTCTGCACCTGACCTCAGTATTCCTCATCCGGCTGCCCCATCAGATTCGTGCAATGTTGGACAGACAGCGGTCTATTCTGTTTTCTTAATGGCTAAGTTTCTGGGCCGCATAGCAGAACTGGCCGAACTGCCGCGGCATACACTCAACCCTTCACAGACAATCGGATGTCGCGACGGCGCCACAGACGTCTCAAGTTGGCAAATACTAACCGAGCCTTTTGTATGCGAGCTGACACTTCATCCGTGATGCGTCCAACGGGTGAGATATGGCTACCCAAATAACAAAACTCATCCACTTGCTCAATTCCTTCCCCAATTAGAGTGAGGCTGAGTGCTGGACCAACCCAGTCTTGTAGGAACATTTTATACTTTGAAGGTACAAAACAAACCACGGTTAGGAGGGACCAGAGTAACTCTTGTTGTTGTCAGACTTTTAGAGATGACACTCCTCATTGTAATCATTGTAGCTTTAATATGTCTTGTCTCAAAAAATTGACTTGGCTTCTCTTTAATATCCGTAGCAGTCTATGATCAGTTCCCACCACCCAAACAGATCTGCTATAGATGACCAGCTGCATCCTTACCCGTTTAATCGCGATGTCTCTGAATAGCCCCTTTCAATGCGCTTTTCTCGACCATTCCGCAACATTTGGTTCGATTAAAAATATGAAACCTTTTGATTGCACCCCAACACTCATTTGCTAGGTTATACAACTATTTTACAGACACATAAAAACCGCTAGATCTTGAAAGGCTTTATTCAAACCCTTGAGCAACAAGTCTGAAGTGCTTTGACGAGTTGTTCTGTTCCCACTTCTATTTTTCACACACATTCACGAAATTCCTTTCGCTTCGATCGCACTTGTTCCAAGTATGCGTATGACGCTATGCTGTGCTTGCTAACCGATCGAGTTTTCATTACCTGTAATCTTTCGCGAATTCAGCTAGTCTTTCCATTTAGTGTGGAGTTTAAATACAAGCAAATTTGTGGGATTTCTGGGTAATTTTTCACTCTTCTTTTGCTACAGATCCCACAGTTAAAAATAACAATTCTTTATTCGGGGTAGACTCTGACCACCACCTCAGAACTACTATTGGCAACAATCTGAAATGCACTCTTACTTACTTACTTACCCACTACGCTTCACTAACCAAACTTCTGTGGAGTGACTATCTTCGCCTGAGTTCAATTCGTTCACTTCCGTGCACAGGTGAGCAAACTATTTTCGGGAAGAGGGAATTGGTGAACCAAGGCGTTTCCATGTGATGCAACGAAAGAGGGAAAAGTTACTTGGCGGTGATCTTGGGTAAGGGGTCCGAACACTCGACCTCCGGGGCGGTAAGTTGATGGCCCTCATTGCTTGACTACCGGCGCCCTCGAATGCTGTGTTTTTGATTTCCTACTGCACAGTACGTGCAACAAGCATTTTGACGACAATGGCAAGAGATAAACGTGTTGCGCATGTCATCAAATAAGTTGCCACGGTGCGTGATGTGGGTGGGTGCAGAAAAGGCAAGGGTAGTCAAACCAAGGCCTGGCACGATGGTATGAAAACCCTAACCAGGAGGGGTCGCGTTAGACTGCCTGAATGGGGACCTCGGGATGATCGTAATCGATGGTTAGAGACACTGAGTGATATGGCTGAGTGTCGTAAACAATGACGTTTGTGCATCTTCTCAATCCCTTGGCAACTGCAGTCCACTGAACTGTTCTTTTTTCCCTTTGACTTTACTTTCAACCTTCCTTCCTGTCTTTCTCCGACTGTTTCATTCAAATGGTCAGTCAAAAGACAGTAACTAAAACCGGTGCACGAAACAACATGGTTAATGGTTGTACAAACTGTGTGAAAACGAATAACTGAAAATGATCCGCATCAATACTAAGACGAGGTGCTATCGCTTTGCCTGATTCCCCCACCCTCCACGCACACTAGTGCCAAAACATCAAAAAAATGATGTGACATTTCATGGACCAAATTTGAGCGGGGAGAACAGCCGCATAGAATAAGAAAGAGGGGGCAAAATATGCGCGACGAGTGAAATCCACACTCACTTTGATCAGAAGGCTCCCGATCAGAATCAGCACCGGTGGCATGTACACTCCGATCGAGATGTAACGCAATGGACTGGGAAGTAAATAGTACCAGAACGACTGATGCATTCGTTCCTGAAGATTGTTCAATGATCGCAAGATACCTTCGAGAAACCTGAGTGCAACATGGTGTGTCGGGGGGGGGATACGAGGAAAAATTGAAAAAAAAAGAAGAAACAGTGACGGATAAACACAGGTGAGGCATATACTCATACAGATATTCTCATACAGATGCTCTGACGTAAGGTTTGTGTATTGTTTACTTGATGTGTCTCACCTACAGGGAGTCAACTTATTACCAACATTTTTGGTGATCTGGTTCTGGGTGGATGAAGACGAAGGAAGAGTAGTGGGAGATACACAGACCCCGTCCGTGAGTTCCCGTCGAAAAAAAAAACAAGAACATATTCAATCTATGCGCGCATATGTGGGACGCCTGATGCGTAGCTCAGCGGTAAAGAATCTCGACTCCCAACCAGGAGGTACACGATTCGAATTCCGCTCGGGATATAAAAATGGTACAGACTGCTGAGGACAATACAGTTGCCCGGTGAGCTTTGGGAGAATTCACATAGTTCTTTACAATCAAAATAACTTGGATGAACTAAATGTGCATCTTATCGTCCTGTTTTTCTTCAGCATCCTCGCTTTTCTCCCGGGTGAGCCAAAAGCTACAAGAGACCAAGGCATGCTTCTCTTCTGTAATGCCTAAAATTGTTAAAACCCTTGCCAAAATTTGCCCCTGATTCATTTAATTGCATTCAATACAACCAGAAGTAGCGGTAATTAATTCAAGAGCGGACCAAAACCGGAACTTTATCAAAATCCACAGGATCACAATGACCCTACCAATTTGTATTGTCGAAAATATGCAGCCCATCTCGCGCTGAGGTACCGTTTTTTTTGTCGCCTGACCGCCAATGCGTCTGTCCGTACAAAAGCGATGGCTATACATAGAACAATAGAAAGCGATAAAACAGACAACAGAAGTCTATTTCACCGAGCTGGGTAGAATTTCAGGTTAACCGACACATTGAAAAGGGCAAAGCAGCTATCCACCAGGGTGGTGAAAACGTCTTACATGGTATATATATGTGTGTGTTTTGCTTTATACATGTCAAATACATGGATATCTCCCTCTCTGTTAGTACAAACACTTTGTATGACGAACAACAGACGGGATGAAGCCCCTAGCTACATAGACCATTTAAACCTAATACCCGGCTACAGAAATCGATCACCTAAGACCTGAGACTTCTATTGGCAAATGCACTCGACTTTCACTGGGATAAGCGGGGTATTGAGCGGCAAAATAGCGAAGTCATCTCAAACCAAAGTTATATGCCGGTAGCAGAGTTGTGACCTCGAACGTCAAATCACTTGCCAATACCTAGTCTCGAACTCGACGGCGAAGCAATGTCAGTACATGATAATGCCAGAGATCAAGAGTCAGCACAAACCATTGAGCCTAAAGCTCAGCTTATTCAGGAGCACAATCCACTGCCGAAGATAAAGAAGACAATTTGCAACCCCGAAATGACAGTTATTTGCGTCAAAGTGCCAGAGCCCACAACAAATACACTGAGGGAGAAACAAGCAGAGGAGCTTGACCACTGGGATGATTTATGTAACCAAATGAATATCGACGTCCACCCAGTTGGAATCGTGCGGCTGTTTCGCCATTCATCGTCACCGCATGCTGGGGAGCCACGATTGACTTGCGTAGTTACCTTCTTAAGCAAGATTCGTGTAGAACAAGAATACTTCTAGATAGGCCCTGGACACAATACCGCATTAACCCAACAAACGCACGGCAATCGGAGAACAAACGGGTTGTTCTAATTCATGGAGTCCCTCAACTGGACGATCCAGACGAATCCCTATGCCAACAAAACGATTGCAAAAAATGGAGTTTCATTCGAGAACTACTTAATTGTACCTATGTTCTTACTACGGCAATTAGTCGTTTACCTAGCTCACCGAACTACCACGGGAACGGCCCGAGGATAATGAAAGTGACCGTAGGAACGACAGAAATGGCCAACTTCGTATTGCAGTCGTGGAAGGATAATAGAAAAAGGGGTCCGCCGGAATTACGCCTAAGACCATCACATAATACTGAATCCCAGCAAAGTCCGAAAACGGAAACCAATACTAACACGCCATCTTCTTCGACTAGTGCAGTTTTTATCACTCCACGTTCACCAAGCAGCACCGACGAAGCCAATTCTACAAAAAACCATTGTTAGCCGACCCGAAGTTGGTCGGCAGAAACAACACCACATACCCAGATATATTTCTCTGCCGAAGATATCTTTCATGTTTTTATACCAATGCACGAGGTTACCTTAGCAAATTTTTCGAGATGGAACTTCGTTGGAAAACTAATCCATTTGACATTGTTGCCGTTACTGAAACCTAGCTGACCACCGACATTCTCGACTCGGAATTGCTTTTATCTGGAATGTCGCTGCTCAGACGTGATCGTCCTATACGAGGCGGTGGAGGACTGTTTTATCATCGGAACAACTTACAGTATGAACAGCTTGATATTCCCGACGCAGCCCCCGATTCGTTATGGTGTTCAGTAAGACTCTCCAAAAACGATAGGTGTCTAATCGGTGTTATGTACCGACCTCCCGCATCTTCAGACTCAGCCAAGGAGATTTTGTTGCAAACCATGAGGAATGCGTTATCACGAAAGTTCATCCATGCCTTTATAATGGGCGACTTTAACTGCCCCAATAAGAACGAAGACTTCCCGCCAGCCATTCGAGAGACAATTATCTCAGTTTATTGGATTGCACTCACTGTACAACCACGTAACAGTACCCGCCAGATTTGGAGCAGGTCAAGAACCACCAACACTGGATTTAATGCTGACTAACGAGAAGCTGATGGTGGAATCTGTCAATATCACGTCTCCACTAGGACGTAGTGACCATGCCGTATTGACGTTTGATTATATAGGCTACGTCTCTACCCAAGAAATCCGAAAGAGCAGTACTCGTGCAATCATATACTACAAAAAGCTGCAAAACCTAGCAATACTTGAGCAATGGGTCCTCCAAGAAGATGATCACGATCCTTTGGTGGCATGGAAGAGCTCCACTGATTATCTTACCGAAATTGTAACGGCTGCAACCAGTATAAAAACTGGTGCTAAATTTAAAACTCGTCACTCATTCACTCGNNGAAATTGTAACGGCTGCAACAAGTATAAAAAATTGTGTTAAATCTAAAACTCATCATTCATTCACTCGCAGCCGAACAAAGAAATGGGTAGAGCAAAGGAAATTTTCCTGGCGGGAGTACAGAAGATGTCCATCTATCGAAACTTGGAATAATTATTTCTTACTGCGAAATTAGTGTGCCAAGTTTGTACGAGAGGACAAATTGATGTACCAAGAAACCCTGGCTCAAAAATTCATTTCTGATCCAAAATTACTTTATAAACGTATCAACTCCACAAGGAAGGTGAAGTGCGGAATGCCAGCATTGAGATCGTCTGGACATGTTTCAACCACTACTCTAGAAGCAGTAGAGTTCCTCAAAAAACAGTTTACTGCAACAACACACGAAGCATTGTAGATTCCAAGCAAACTACCCTGTATACCGTATCCGCCACTGGATAACATGGCTATTGACAGTGAGAAGGTTCGAGCAAAACTACTAACTTTGCGTAATAATTCATCCCCAGGCGCAGACAACATTCATTCCCGGACTCTGTTGTCGCTGGCCAATAACATTTCCGAACCACTGGCTGTTCTTTACCAATGGATGTTCAACCAGGTAGTAATTCTGCAGTCATGGAAGGAAGGGGTGATTTCCCTCATTTACAAAGGGGGTTCTCGTAGTGATCCCGCAAACTACGGCCCTGTTACACGTCTTCCGATATTGTCGAAAGTCATTGAGGCTATTGTGGCAGACCTATGGATGGAATATCTGGAAAAGCATGAGCTTCTGTCTCCAACCCAGCACGGATTTCGGCACAAGCGTTCGTGCCCCACAAACCTACTCCTTGCACAGGATGAGTAGACAAAATCCGTCGATGCAGGCAGGTCATTGGATATAGTTTATTTGGGCTTCTTCAAAGTACTTGATCGAGTAAACCAC